AACCACGGTCGACTACATGGGAGTCCAGCGACATAGCCATTATGCTAACTGCTGGTCCCAATAATTATTTTATTTAACTTTATTTATTTATTTTAATTCAACCAGAGAGGGACAGAGAGAGAGAGAAAAGAGAGAGAAAGTGAGAACGCAAGCCACCAGGGTCGGGACTAGAACCATGGTCAGCCATGTGGGAGTCCAGCGCCCCTAATCACCACACCAACCACCAGCTCTGACACTTATTCTTTTAGGCAATTCCCTGAGGCTTACTGGGAGGTACAGGTCTCCCTTTTTTTTTCTTTTTGCCACAAATAGGACTTTTTATTTGTCACTATTCAGAGTCTGAACTTCATTTATTTATTTATTTTATTGAACTTTATTTTATTTATTCATTTATTTTAATTTGAACAGAGAAGGACAGAGAGAGAGAGAGAGAGAAGGAAAGTGAGAAAGTAAGCCACCAGTTCCAGGACTTGAACTGTGATTGGCCATGTGGGAATCCAGCACCCTTAACCACCACACTACTTGCTGGCCCTCAAAGTCCGAACTTTAAACATATTCTTGGGGGGCTGGCAGGTGGCGTGGTGGTAAAGGGCGCTGGATTCCCACATGGCTGACCATGGTTCGAATCCTGGACCTGGTAGCTTGCTTTCTCACTTTCCCTTTCACTCTCTCTGTCTCTCTCCAGTCAAATTAAAAAATAATAACAAATGGAATTAAGTAAATAAATGAATGAATCTTAAAAAACAAAAAGATTCATGGACTAGTGATTCATATCCATTAGCTTGTTCAACTTTGGTCCCCATCTCATCCCCAGTAGCTTTTCCAGAGCTACTACCTTCACTGAGAAGCTCCATGAGTTTTTCAAATTTGACATTGGGCTTCTTCAGCGTTTTTACTTTTCTGCAATTTTTTTTTGAGAAGTTTTAGCATTTTTACTTTTCTGCAATTTTTTTGAGAGGTTTTTGCTATAGGGCGCGTGCGCTCGCCAGAAAGACAAAAAGAGACAAAGAGATAGAAAGCGAAAAATCATCCCCCAGGGGGATGGCCATATTGCAATCCTTTCTCCTCCATTCTCCTCTCAGGATCTTGGGCATGCATGCACACACGCCCGGTGTGAGTTTAAGCCACCGGGTCTGGGACTCGAACCATGGTTGGCTACATGGGAGTTCAGCGACATAGCCATTACGCTAACTGCTGGTCCCAGCATTTTTTCTATTTTGATGAAGACATCATAGAGATGATAGATGGATTGGCAAGCCTTTTCTGTGTCTTTTCCAATGCTGTCTAGAATCAGTTTATTGACCACTTCTTTCAAGTCACTTGTCTGCACCTTCTGGGTTACGATTTCCATCATCTTCTGGATTTGGCAGACCTGCCGATGCTGGCATAAGAGGTTGTCTGTATCTGATTGTTACGTTTTTAAGTAAACCCAGCACTGAAAAGATGAAGCAAATAACCATGGGTAGCCTTGATATTGACATGAGCTTCAATCATGGTCTGCCATTTTTTGACCATGGAACACATTTTGTCATGAGTAAGATCCGTGCCATGGAAGTTAGGCAGTTTCTGCCCTGAACATCCTCAGTAATTAGCTTGAATTTCCTAAATGCGACTTTATCATGCTGCAGATCTGCAAGGCTCACTTCAAACACACGACCCTTAAGGCCATCAGACACAATTTTGATTGCTTGAGTACTAATGGCTAGTGTTTTCCTAATATATTCTTTTTAAGAGGTTTTTGCTATAGGTGCATGTGCTTGCCAGACAGACAGAGACAGAGAGACAGAAAGCGAGAAATCACCCCCCCAGGGGGGATGGCCACGCCGCAATCCCTTCTCCTCCAGTCTCCTCTCAGGGTCTTGGGCACATGCCCCCGGTGTGAGTTTTAAGCCACCGGGTCCGAGACGCAAACCGCAGTTGATTACATGGGAGTCCAGCGACATAGCCATTACGCTAACTGTTGGTCCCTTCTCAATATTTTTTATGTTGAACATAGCAGGCACTTTCACGTCATACCAGTCCTTTTTTCTTTCTTTCTTTTTTTTTAATTTTTTTGTAGAGGTTTTTGCTATAGGGCATGTGTGCTTGCCAGACAGACAGAGACAGAGAGACAGAAAGCAAGAAATCACCCTCCAGGGGGGATGGCCATGCCACAGTCCCTTCTCCTCCGTTCTCCTCTTGGGATCTTGGGCACACAGGCACACGCGCCCGGCGTGAGTTTTAAGCCACCCAGTCCGGGACGCGAACCGTGGTCGACTACATGGGAGTCCAGCGACATAGCCATTACGCTAACTGCTGGTCCCCATACCAGTCCTCTTTAGATAATGGATCAACCACTTTCTTCTTGTCTCCCTTTTTGCTGCCTTCATAAAGTTCTTATTCTTGCCAACCATCATGGTGCTACTCAGAGAGCCAAAAGAGCACAGGTCTCCCTTTCTTTGGGTAAAAAGCATGGGGACCCTCCCTCTTCCACAGTGCTAACGTGTGTTTCCCTTCTCCTCTGACAAAAGGGAGAAGGACTCAGAGCTGAACCAGAAGCGGCCTCAGTACATTAAAGCCAAGGAGAACACCTCCCATAAAATCAAGAAGCTGGAAGCAGCCAAGAAATCTCTGCAGAATGCTCAGAAGCACTATAAGAAGCGTAAGGGTGACATGGATGAGCTGGAGAAGGAGATGCTGTCAGTGGAGAAGTCCCGGCAGGAGTTTGAAGAGCGGATGGAAGAGGAGAGTCAGAGTCAGGGCAGAGACTTGACCCTAGAGGAGAATCAAGTAAGCCCTGGAAGGGGTTAGTGAGAAGACTGCTGGGCTGACATGGGCTGATGTGGTCATCCCTGTCCTCTTTCTCTGTCCCAAACACAGGTAAAGAAATACCACCGGTTGAAAGAAGAAGCCAGTAAGAGAGCAGCTACCTTAGCCCAGGAGCTGGA